ATAATGCTCATCAAGCCAGGCAAGGACCGGAAGTTGCCCCAGAACTACCGGCCCATCAGCCTGGTTTCCTCGATGGGCAAAGTAGTCGAAAAGGCTATCGCCGTTCGACTAGAGAAGCAGGCAGAAGAACTGCAACTTCTCCCCCCAGAGCAATTCGGCTTCAGATCCTCCCACAACACGGAACTCCAAGCGCTACGACTGACGGAAAACATCACCAGCGGCTTCAATCTCCAGGAGGCAACCGGTCTCGTCCTGCTGGACGTGGAACGAGCCTTCGACCGAGTTTGGCACGATGGACTCATCGCCAAAATGGAAGCCGCCGGAATCGATGCGAACATGTGCCAACTGATCCAGAGCTATCTAACACAAAGATGGTTCACGGTGAAGATTGGTACATGCCATTCAACAAGACGACAGCTGGAAGCAGGCGTGCCTCAGGGGTCAGCCTTAGCCCCCCTGCTCTACAACATCTATACTCACGATGTGCCGAAGACAGCTGACACAATGCTGGCCCTATTTGCAGACGACACTGCTATAGCCGCCAAGCATAGACGGCCCGAGATCATCCGTAGGAGACTACAGGATGAACTGGACCACATCCAGGACTGGTGCGTGAAATGGAAAATCCGCATCAACGTCCAGAAGACGCAGGTAATCTTCATTCAACGAAGAAGGATTGCAAGACCTCTCGAAGCATCCATCTTCGACGAAGATATCCAGTGGAGCGACAAAGTCAAATATCTGGGGATCGTATTTGACAAGTCCCTCACCTGGAAAGCCCACATAGAAGCTGTCATCGCAAAGACCAGAGCAGCCATGGCTCAACTCTACCCATTACTGGGTAGACACAGCCGGATGCCGCTAGCGACCAAGCTACGGCTGATCAAGGCCATCGCCAGACCTCAGCTCGCTTACGCCTCCGCGGTCTGGGGGTACGCTGCCCCCAGCTACCGCAAGCGACTTGCTGCTCTAGAGATGAAGCTACTCCGGATCGCCACCAGTGCACCATCCTACGTAAGAAACTCTACCTTGCGTAGAGACCTGCATTGGGACACCATCCACGAGTACATGAGGAAAAAAGCGGAGAAGACCTTCGAGAAAGCTCAGGACCACCCGAACGAGCAGCTACGATTCCTCATGGACTACGATCCGGACGAGAGGCCTCGCAACCGCAGAACCAGGTACCCTAGACCAAGGTCCCAGTTGGCACCCGCTAACTGGAACCTTGACTAGGAGACTAGGAGAACCCGCGGTTGCTCCCCCCCCCCCCACGGCGTGGATGCAGAGGACCAGGAACCACCGGGACCAGGACCCACCAGGACCAGGACCCTTCAGGACCAGGACCAGGAACAACATATTGGTAAGAGGACTTGAAACTCTTGATTTTTCGAAAACAAGAGTTTCAAGAGAACCAGCAGACCCTCTATCGATGATCGCTTAACGACATCGATAGAATGTGCGAGGTAAAGGTAACCAACCCGGCGTTCCCAGAGACTGAAACACATGAGGAGACGTTGTAGCAGACCGCAGGTCACGCACAACACATGGCCTACCGAGTCGCTGATGAGTCGGGCCTCGCGGAGGTTTAGGGTTTAGTGGGTATTAGGTGATCTCCTCAAGACCCTGGAGTCCCACACACGCCGTAGCTCGGGCTATGGTATGGTGCGTAAATGCATTCCCCCCTCACCAAAAAAAAAAAAAAAAATCTCAAGTCAGGAAAATATATAAGTGATTTTTGGAAAAACTCGGAATTGCGAACCTTTTTAAGAATTATTTTCTTAGTTACCCAAATGTTCAACTTTGCCCCTTTCAAGCGATTTCGTATCTCTTACCGCTTCCGAGATCCTAATACTGAGAGTAGAATTTTAAACATACAGCATAATAAAATATAGGATAAATGGTGAGATCTTCCGTCAAGATATGCAATATTGCTGGTAACTTCTTCGTCAAACGTCAAATTTGCAGCAAATCGCTTTTTCGCGTATATTTAAGGAACTTTGAACTGTGGGGTTCTAAGGGATGGAAAGAAGTGTAAAATGAGATATCGTGTGTCCTTTTTGCTGCAGCGGATACGTCGCTGTACAGCTCGTAAGAAATGACTCTTTACTTGAAAAAATTAGCGGTAATTATAAATTTTCAGAAAATGCGTCGTCCAGTTTTTATGAATCTTCTTATGAATACTAATCACCACAAAAGATTTGTAGTCCAAGGAGTATTTTATCACCGAGAATGAAAAGGGATAAGCACCTCAAAGGCACAAAAAGTCGCATAGTTTTGCAATGTTTAACTAATTAATAGGATGTAGTATATTATAAACAGGAACAGATACATGCAGAGCTACTTCGGATCGGTTCTAGTGACTCAAAATACGTACCGTAGAGATCATTTGAACCGTATTTAAATCTTTTTAATGTTTAGTCACCATGTAGTATTACGTTAGAAAGAGGATAAAGCATGGGTCAGTCGGAAATGTGCCGTTTACACCCCTTTTTACACGAATGCAAGAAAAGAGATAAAGCAAAGTTGCTTTCAGTGATTGATGATTAAGTTAAGATTCGTAACACGCAAAACGGTTGATTTTGTGTAGTTGCCATCCATATAATTTATTAACGTGTGCTCTATCCTCTGATAATATGCCCAAAATATGATGTACTTAGACGTTTACATAGAATTTTTCAGATTTCCACCGTCATAGGTATGTTATCAGGCAGAACCGCAGTAATTCCCTTAGCAGTACCAATAAGGTTCTCCATCTTCCTTTCAATGGAAACTGATTATTCTTAAACACGACCTCAACCTTTCAAAGAAATATCACTCAACTGTCCTGGGTACTATTTCTAAGGTTTTGTTTTGTCAGAATTTCTCCATGACCGAAAAAACCCATAACCTGGTTATTGACAGGTATACAGGGTGTCCAAGATAAGAATCCTATGCATGAGGATCTCAATACCTGGGGGATATACAGCTTAGGTTAAATTAGGAAGATGTTGCCTTCTATGGCGCGTATTTACATGCCTTTGAGAAACTTGTAAACATTTCATGGCTTTGGTATTTTGGAAAAACTAAAATTTGGCCAAATCGTTTGAATTTTTCTGGTTTTATTTGAAGGAATATGAAAAATCTCATGGAACTTTTTAGGCACTATATGGTGTTGTTTTGAAATTTTGATCCCGACGTTTGGTTTTTGAGAAATCAACAACATTTTTTATAAGGTCCAGAAAAAAGTGCCCTCTGTAACTGATAGCATCTTCTTCTACCATGCCGAAGATGTATCACATCTTACATTTGTTTTCTTAGTTATAAAGAAAAATGTGTCTTCTATTTTTTTTATTTAAGTAGACGTTGCAAACAAATGTTTGATGTAAGATTATGTGATTACTGATCAATGCATATCACATCAGAGTAAAGACAATTTGTTTCATGATTAACCCCTGTTGATCAGAAATATACAGGTGGTTTAAAATTCAACCCACACCATTGGGATCTCGGGAACTATAAAGATTACGAAGCCGCTTAAATGGGACGCATTTGAATAGTCAACAAAATGTCGCCTAGAAAGTTTTAAAATTCAAAGTGCTTCTGGAGAAAAACGAAAAAAACCGAATATTCCCAAAGTCTTTTTAATTTTTCCTGACCTTATTTGTAGTGGGATTTCAAAATAAATTGTACATTAACATTGCTACTTTTTCTCGACAAATTGGCATAATCAGAATTTTAATATGACGTTTCGTCTTTGGTCCTCCAGCATTAAATTTATTTTTTCTTATAGACGCCAGATTTGATCTTTTATCTTTGCTTATTTATGATTATTATTTTTATTACCATCAAATTTTTATTTTGTATCGAGGTTTCACCATACCTTTTTATTTCCTTATAATCTTCATCGAACAACAAATTCAATGCCAACTAATTAATCACATTTCTGAATTTAGGAGTGAAAAAGTCCATTGAAATGTACATAATTCCAATATGAAAAATCATGTTGGGGATGGAACTCGAAAAATTCGAAAAATTCAGTTTTGTACATATATTTGTGAATAGCTTGAATATTTTTCATAATCATAAAAACATTGTGTTAATATAAATAGGAATGAACAATGTTTTCTCCTAACGTAAAATTAAATTTTATGATTAGGAGAAAAATTCCATGAAAATAAACATTACATAATTATGAAAGTAACACTAATGACTTTTGACTTGACATTGGCAGCTGAATTGATGTATATCCATTGCAGTATGGCGGCGATGTATTTTCAGTCAATTGCTGTGAGTTAAAAGATGATTAAAGGTAAGGATAAAGTATATCGTTTACAGCATAGCATTAACATGCTAGCAACTGCGCTAGTATTACATAGAGATATGAGGGGGTGAAATGTTATAAGATGAGTTTTATTTTATATACAATAAGTGTTCAAATGTGTTGACATTATTTTCTAAACATAAATATGATCTATCAGTAGAATTCAATACATCACGTAACATTTCTGGTGTAATCATACTAAATGTGTCCATTACACATTCTCGTGATTACTGCACAGTTTCTGAAGTATGCTGATAAGCTTGGCTTTTAATAAAACCCCAAACAAAAAAGGCCAGAGGAGTTGAATCCGGGTAACGCGCTTGCCAGGATACTTCACTTCACAACTAGTCTCCTAGATCATGTTGCAATAGCTGAAGGTACCGTTCCGCAGTAAATGAGTTATGGTAAATGAATTGATCTTACAGTTTGGTCCCTAGAATTCCACACCATATATTAAACCCAAAACAGATTGATTTTTTTATCCCGCAGATTTTCTTTGGGCCCAGTAATGAGATATTGGTTTTGAGGGGAAATTAAAATCCTCTTCACACGGTCGTGTGTCTCACTCATAAAACTGTCGGCGCCGTTCGCTATCACCTGGTCTAAAAGTGGGGTTTCTCACCAAAGCCGAGCCGGACGGAAATCGCTCAAATATGCAAGATTTGAATGGGAGCTTCCAAACAGAACGCCGGGCCGCGCCGAGCCGATTTGAGCACTGCTATGTACCGCCAATTCGAGCGTTCTCGGCTAAGCGGATTCGAAGTCCTTCCAGTCTAGTTCGGCGTTCCAATAAGTTAAAACACGTCAAGTGGTTTGGTTCTACATATTGTCACTTCAAAAAATAAACAAAAATTTGTGTTGATGTTGAACTACTAATTAGTTCTATTCAGGAAAGACCTCCGTTGTGGGATCAGTCCAATAAGAAGTACATGGATAGGGATGTTGCAATAAATCTATGGAAGGAAGTAGCTGCTGAATGCAACACAACAGGTAGGTACCTAATATATATTTTTATATAAATTTAGTCGAAAAGTTACATCAAAATGAAATCTACGATGGATGATTTTAAAAATATTGCGCAAATGCCAATCGCGTTGTCAGTGCACGTCTTGTAGAACGTGTGTTTACAGTTGGAGACAGTTGTTCAGTTTCACCGAAATTGGACGATTGTTGGTCTATCTCGTGGAGCATCAATTCCGTCCTTGTTGACAACAATGTTATGCAACACGCACTACAATTTTGTCAGCTAAATCAGGGGTTGTTTCAATTGGTTTTTGGAGTAACCTCCATTTAGACGCCAAAATTCCAAACGAACTTTCGACAACTCTTCTAGCTCTTGACAAGCGTTCATTGAATGTTCGTTTCAAGTCGTCCAATTCCCTCCTCGGGAAAGGTCTCATAAGCCAGGGAGTCAAATGGTAAGCTTCATGTCCGATAACCACAAAGGGACAATTTATGTTTGTTTGTGGCAATTCTGTGTCTGCTGGCATATTAAAAGTACCATTTTTTAAGCGGCGATAAAGGGTACTTTCGGAAAATATTCCACCGTCAGATTGTTTACCATATGCACCAACTTCTATCGCAATAAATTTGTATTGTGCATCAGCAAGTGCTTGCAGAACGACTGCAATAATGTAGTGAACCGTTGAGGTTCCAATTTTGAATGCATCACTGATGGCTCCATAGGATAATCCTGTCGATAGATACCTGAAAACAATTTCTATATTAGAACAAATGTGCTACTCAACAACTCTAATATAATTTTTAATGTCTATTGTGAACAATAATATAATTTTCAACAACATTATTGTTCGTTTGTTGCAGATATTATAGCAAAGGAAAAATGGAAACATTTGAGGGGGTGTTTTCGGAATGAATTAAAGAAAGAATGCACACCAAAATCTGGGGACGCCAAAGGCTCACCATGCAAACCCCAATGGAAATGGTTCAAAAACATGGAATTTTTGCGAGGAACCCTATCTTCTGGAAGTATGGAAGGAAACTTGAAAAGTGACTCCTCGTATTTCACTCAGGAAGAGTCTCAGCGTGAAACAGAGTCTATTGATGGAGGGGTGATGAGTTGCCCACAATCGCCAACTGATGTCTCTATATCTTCTGCACCTTCTAGTTCTTTAAGGTCAAGTGTAGGTAGAAAACGCAAAGTAACTGCAGCAGAAGAAGGTGAAAGGCTGCACATTGAGAAAGAAAAACTGGACATCATGAAATCAATGGCAAAAAAAGAAGACGAGAAAGATACAACTTATCATTTTCTGATGAGCCTCAAAGACCCCATAAACAGACTCCCTATAAATTCACAAATGTTGCTGAGATACAAAATTATGGAAATTGTAATGAAAGAAATTTATAAAAACCAAAAACCCAATAAAGCCAGTCTACAACCTATAAATTATACTGACTACATATTACCAACGTCTACACTGACCAACCCAAGGGATGCTTCAACTTTATTTTCTCGCTTCACCGATGATAGAATATAGATTAAATATATACTAAGTGACATATAAATCCGAACACCCAGTTTAAATGGTTTTATTTTAATAAAATTTTGTATAAGTACTTAATGAAGCATAATAAGTAAATGATAAACATTTTAAAATGATTGCACTGCTTTAAAGCCCTTTGACCTTTAATAATGTGTGGATGCACCCTGATGTGCTACGCATTCTCCAACGCGCCTAGGCATGCTTCTGATCAGGTGGTCAATGACCTCCTGTGGTATCTCATTCCAGGCAACCACCAACTCCTCTCGAAGTGCTTCTAGAGTCTGAGGAGGACGTTACAAATTGAGCAATCTCCGACCCATCATATCCCACACGTGCTCAATTGGGGATAAGTCGGGAGATCTTGGTGGCCATGGTAACAATGTGACATCATTATGTTGAAAGAAGTCTATCGTGACTCTTGCAACATGTGGTCGGGCACATCTTGTTGGAAAGTTGGATCTGCCAGGGTGTCAAGATAGGGTAAAAGATGGGGTTCTAGAACTTCGTGGATATAACGCTGCGCGTTCATGTCACCTCTGATGAAGATTAAAGGTGACCTGGAACCATAAGCTATAGCACCCCAAACCATAATTCCAACAGTGTGATGAACGTGTCTTGCAACAAAAAACTGTGGATTCCTCCTTTCACCACGTCACCTTCTAACCCTGGCACGACCATCGTGCATGCCTAAACAAAATCGAGACTCGTCACTAAAGACAATACTGTTCCATTCCTGATCCCAGAATGACCGTTGTCTGCACCACTCAAGGCGATTACGTCGGTGTTCTCGAGTTAAAGGGAGGACCCAGTGTGGCCGGTATGAAAACAAGCCAAAACTTCTCATTCGTCGGTAAACACTTCGCATGCCAATAGGTCTTCCGTGTTCTGCAAACCATTCATTTGCAATGGACCTGGTAGTGGAGAAACGGTCCCTTAAGGCCAATAATCTTAGGCGGCGATCTTCACGGTCTGTTGTTCTACGGCGGCGTCCAGTGCCCCTTGCTCTTTGCGTACGGCCTTCTCGAAGCCATGCCTGACAACACCTAACCACAGTGTCTACACTTCTTTGCACTCTAACTGCAATTGCCCGAAAAGAAAGTCCAGCTTCCCGAAGTCCCACTATACGGCCCCTATCAAACTCACTAAGTTGACGAAATCGTACAGGTCTCCGTACTCTAGGCATCGTATCCGATCGTAAAGGATGTCAAGAACCAAAATCCGCCAACGTTGATTCTTTACTGCGGCTGAAATTTTCATTTTTAGAGCGTTAGTGAATTAAAAAAAAAGCAGTATAAAAACCGGAATGTCCAACTGATAAGGCTGAAAATTTTTTCACTTGTTATTTACAGTAAGATAAATACATTCACCAACTTTTATTAAAATAAAACCATTTAAACTGGGTGTTCGGATTTATATGTCACTTAGTATATTTGTAGTATATCCGAATTGTACTGAATTCTTATCAATACAATTTTTTAAAACGTATTACTATGTTGTTTTTACACCCTTTTACACTTGTAGATAAAGAAAAAATGATGGTTAAACTTATTGACAATATATTTAGAATCTTGGTCACTTACAGAATAGAACAATTTTCCCCCTGAAGGGAAGAAAATTGATATTTCGGGTCTTGCCATAGGCCTGACCGTTGAGATTACGTTCCCTATCTACAGCTCCGGAGTCAGTATGTGTGCGTCTCTAGTCCCCCTTACCTTCGTCCTCCTCCCCTTTCTGTACGCCCATGCTCCTTGGAGCGATGCGCGCGCTGGCTAGTGGCGAGCGATTCCCCGCTCGCCCTTCAGTACTCTTGCGCCGGCAAGGCGTTACCTAGGTCAGGCCTATGGCAAGACCCGAAATATCAATTTTCTTCCCTTCAGGGGGAAAATTGTTCTATTTCGGCTCTGTGCCTACGGCCTGACCGTTGAGAAGTGTTTACAATCTGCCGGCGCGCCACGGTGTTAGAAAGCGTACTGTGACATGGTTATAGTATGAAGACCAAAAAAAAAAAAAAAGGTACACTAAACCATACTGAACTTTCTATATTTTCCCTACAGAAAATATCAACAATACAAGGACATAAACAGAATATGATAACTCTAACAGTTCATAAAAAGAAAAGTAACAGTCATTCTTGGCTCACAGCCATGATAATACTTATATAGGGACAAATTTATCCGAAATAAGTCTTCTGTTGCTGTTGTCAGGTACCAAATCCTTATCGATATTTTTATAGTAGTGTTTGAAGAAATTGCTTGATCCCTGCCAATTTCCTTTCTGCAAAACCTCATCCAATGGCTTGTTATCATTGAAGCGGGATGTTGCCACTGCCGAGCGGGTACTGCCGGCTCCTCCTTCTATACCTGCCGATTTCAACGCTGTGCGGACCCATCCTGCTATCACTGACCGAGATGCCGGTCCTATCTTCCCACGAGTTGTGACGAATAGTTGAGGAATCGGTCGACAGTGGAGGTTCCTTCTCTTTTCTGATATTTCTAGATATATGGTTGTCCAGTGTACTAGATCCCAGATGCATTCTCGATTTTTGAGGAGTTTCCAGCCTGACTGGACGTAGTTATGCTTGTCTGTCTTAGATCCATGTTGTGGCCAGAAAATTATGTATTCTTCGGTTTGTTCAAAGAAACCAGAATCTATTCGAAGGAGTGTCAAGTCATGGACTCTCCTTCCCGATGATAGCAGCAAAAGCAGCGATAGATGCCGGGCCACTTGAAAGATACTATTCGTATCTGGATGGTTATCATTAATCCAAGATAGAAGTTTATCGATGTTCCAAATCTTTGGCCTAGTTGCTGGAGGATTTGCATTTGCAATACCTCTAATTACCTGTTTCACTGTTGGGCTACTGGAAACTCCTTCACTATGTAGTGGATTGGAGAATGTCGCAATGGTGGATTTATGTAATAGGATCGTTCTAAGCGCCAATTTTCTTGTGTTGTGTAGGAAGCAGAGGTATTGAGCCACCTGCGTGGGGTTTGGATTTTTAACTGAAACTCTTCTTTTCTTCGCCCACGATTGCCAACTTTTCCATGCAACGGCATACGTTTTGAGAGTTGACTTGCGCCAGGATGTTTCTAAGATTCTCCTTTCATCCTTTGACCAGTGATTCGCTATATCGGACCACCCCGTATCTTCCATGCCTCCAGGTGTAAATCCATTACCTTTGGAGGAGGCTGGTTGGTTTGAAGATCTTCCAGGTGAGCCTTCAGATTCCGAATGGTGAACGGGTGGTCGATGGCACGTCTCTTCAGCAGGGGCCGCCAGAACACCCTTTCCCACCTGGGGACTATCATTATGAAAACTCCCTGACAATAGTTGAGGTGTTGGAGAACTCTTGGTATTAGGGGTGGAGGAGGGAATATCCACGCTAGCTTGTACTCCCACGTTCTTGTAAATGCGTTGACGAATTCTGCCTCCTTGCATGGGAATTGCGTTACAAATCTTGTAACGACGGCTGATTCTGGAGTCGCAAATAGGTCGATGCAAGGGGTTCCCCACTTTTCGAAGATCCTCTTCTGAGCTATCCTTGATAAGTGCCAGTCTGGCAGATCCTTTCCTCTGGATAGGTGGTCGGTCACAATATTGTAGTTTCCTGGAATATGTTCTATTCTCAGAGACATACTGTATTGATGTGCCAGCTCCAGGATCTTCCTGGTCAATGCCAAAAGCGTGACCGACTTGGTTCCTCCTTGATTTCTCAAGTAGGAAACCACCGTCCTGTTGTCCGTCTGAATTAACAGTGTTTTGTTTGCCAATCGATCTAGGTGGTTTCTTAGCGCTAAGTAGATCACGAACATTTCTTTTTTGTTGATATGCCACTTTTCCTGCTGCTCTGTCCAGTTTCCTTTCCTCAAAGTGTCTCCTACTTGGGCTCCCCAGCCCGTGTTTGAGGCATCGGTTATTATATGAACTTCCGGTTCTTTCATGCATATTATGGATGACCCTTTTAAGTTTTTCTCCCACCATCTTAGCTCTCGCAATACGTCCAGGTCTATATTGAACAGTTTCTTTGGTTGGTTTTCTGACATCCGATTGACTGCTCTTTGTATCTTTCTGCAATGTAGTCGACCCAATGGGATAACAAACGAGGCAAATTCCATTCTCCCTAGCAGTGCCTTTACCTGCTTCCAGCTCCAAGTCTTGCTCTTGATTCCAGCTTGGATTGATGTTTGCAGACGGTGGATTTTGTCCTCCGGTAAACTCTTTTGATTTCTTATGGTGTTCCACATAATACCTAGATATGCCAATTTCTGTGTAGGTCTTATTTCGGACTTCTCCAGGTTGATGCAGAAACCCAGCTTTATGAGAGTATCTATCAGGGTGGATACCTCTCGCTTTAGTTCTTCTGGATTCTGGTTTGCGATCAAAAAATCGTCCAAATAGACCATTACTCGAATGTTTTGTTTCCTCAAGTAGCTCGCCACCCAGTTCGTAACTTTTGCAAACACCTGTGGAGCGAAGCTTAGGCCAAATGGTAGTGCTGTCATAGCGTAGATGTTTTGCCGGTAATAAAGTCCCAGATAACGCCAATGCTTTTGCTTTATTGGCAAATGGAAATATGCTTGAGAAAGGTCGACTTTTACCATATAATCTCTTTCCTGGAGAAATAATGGCAGTTTGCGATGGTTCATAAGGCGGAACTTCTTGGGCGTGATGAAGCTGTTCAATCTTTTTAGATTGAACACTGGTCTCCACAAGCCCCCCGATTTCGGCGTCAAAAACATCTTTGATAAGAAACCTGTTTTTGTTTGCAGTTTTACTACCACCTTTTGATTTATGAGGTTTTGTATTTCTCGATCCATTTGTGTGGATGCTGGTGTCTCGAATTTGTTTAGTATCGGTTGGGATAGTACTGTTATTGGTGGCTTTATTGAGAAAGGGATCACGTAGCCTTTCAGGATACTGAGAATCGATTGTGAGGCTCCCATACTTTTCCAAGCAGAGACATATTTGGCGAGTTGTCCTGCCTGAAAACTGTCAAAAACTCCGCCTTTTATCTAAAGGTGGTTGCTCCTTACGAGCTAGCTTGGTATGACTTTTCGCCCCCGGCTTACGCGA